TTTGAACTCTCAGGCATTAATCTGCTGCTGAGGGTTGGTGCAGTGATGTACGTCTCCAGTCAGAACAGCTAACTTCCTGTTAGCTAACCTACACATGAATGTGATCCCGTTCAGGTTCTTTTATTGATGCCCTCGGCTAGTTTTGTTGTGCAGTTAAATGAGCAGGCAACCATTTTAACAGACACTGGAAAATATTCCCAGAGAAAAGAGCGAGTGCTCACTAAAACTACAAGTTCAAGCCCTCAGATTAAAAATACTCCACGACCAAAAAAGCTAAAAACGCTCTAATAAATACTCAGATTACAAATAAATAAATAAATGGAACAGATATGTGCAGACTTTGTCACTTATTCAGATGACTAATAGCTACTGAGACTGTAATCCTTCATTCAGAGGAGTATAAAGTGTGATGTCTAAGATGAAGCTGGTCATTCTCTGTCTGCTACACAGCTACACAGTATGTTTGGGCGATGGTGAGGAGGAAGCGTAGCCCTAAGAAGCATCCAGGACACTACAAACCTGTCCATGTCTCTAATGGTTTTTCCCCACTCGGCCATACACCCACCGAGAAACAGTCTGGTTATCAGCGATTCATTTATAAGACATGTGAAGCTAAAGGCACCAGCCTCTGTAGTGAAACTGCTGGCTGAAAGGGTAAATCCCATAAAATTATAGTTCATGTCGGCAGTAAATGTCCCCAGTCAGACGTCACTAACATTAATATTAAATGGGTGTGTAACTTTGCCAAAGCAATGTCGGACTCTGTAGTTTTCTCTGGTCCCCTCCCCAATCGGACCACGAGTGACATGTTTAGCCGCAAGTCCTCCTTAAATTAGTGGCTGTCCAAAAAACGAGATAATTGGGAAGCTTTCTAGGAAAACCTGGTCTTGTTAGGAGAGACGACGTCCATCCCACTTTGGATGGAGCAGCTCTCATTTCTAGAAATCTGGACAAATTTATTAAACCCCCCAAAAATGTGACTATCCAGAGTTGGGACCAGGAAGCAGAGTCGCAGTCTTACACGCCTCTTGTAATTGTTTGTATCATATCTATCTAATAGACTCCAATTTGTACATGTAAATGGAGAGTCTTCACACACTGAGGTTAATTATGGAGTTCCACAGGGTTCAGTGCTAGGACCACTTCTGTTTACATTATACATGCTTCCCTTAGGCAGCAGCATTAGAAGACATAGCATACATTTACACTGCTATGCAGATGACACCCAGCTCTATCTGTCCATGAAACCAGATAACACACACCAATTAGTTAAACTGCAGGAATGTTTTAGAGGCCATGCAGGTCTTTGTCTTTAACTTTCTGCTTGTAAATTCAGATCAAACGGAGGTTATTGTACTCGGCCCTGGAAATCTTAGCAGTATGCTAACATCTGTTAAAAATAGTTCATGTATTTGTTACTTTTAGGCTGGACTATTGTAATTTGTTATTGTTATTATTAAACTCATGCTAGCCATTAGAAAGAAAGCTGTTTAAATGCACTTGAACATTAACTTCACTTTTAATGACCTGGAAATCTTTCATGTGCAATGTGTGGTATGGAGCTTGCAAACACGGAGATTAATTATTATGGAGTTTTCTGATGGTGAAGAAAATTGCTTGCTTTCTTTAGCTAATGTGAGTGACACTCTGTCTGCTTATCTGTTGCATCAGGGCCACTCCAGCTTCATCACTCACCTGGACTGGTCCAAAGATGGGAAGTACATCATGTCAAATTCAGGCGACTATGAGATCCTTTACTGTAAGTGAACATCCAGCACTGTGCTTTTAGTGCTGTTATAGGAATGCCATGCAGTACGTTCTTTAGCTTAGTGACTCTGTGTTTTAACAGGGGACATAGCAGCAGGATGTAAGCTGCTTAGGAACCGCTTTGAGAGCAAAGACAGAGAATGGGCCTCTTATACCTGTGTGCTAGGCTTCCATGTGATGGGTGAGAAACTCCAAAATGCTGTTATCCTCCTTTAGTATTGCATTAACTTCATGGGGTACTTTTATCCAATCAGACTGATGAGTGTGGTACTGTGGTGTTCAGGTGTGTGGCTGGAAGGCTCAGATGGCACAGACATCAACGCGCTGTGTCGCTCTCACAACGAGAAGATGGTGGCTGTGGCTGATGATTTCTGTAAGGTTCATCTGTTCCAGTACCCCTGTCCTAAACTCAAGGTAACTATTTTCTTATTTAAATAAGAATCAAATGATAAAAGTCAGCCAGTTTTAAGAGTTAGAAACAGCTGAACAGTTTGTCAAAGTCAGTCCAGCTCAAGCAGATCAGATAACCCAGGTTAATGGTTTTGAACAGAGTTGTATTCTTTCATTAAAGCAGATGACACACGGGTTGATTTAATAAGCTGCTCGGTTTTCAAGAGCAGGTCTCATCTTATAAGAGCCCGCTGTGTTTGTAGTGCTGTCACTAGAGTTGTGGGACATTCAGATTCAGCATTAACAGTAGGAACCTTGTCGAAAGGTGTTTATCCTACTCTGGAAAGACAATGAGGGGGGAGGAGGGACCTACTCTGCTCTGATCCAAAGTGGACCTGCTTCTTCAATTCAATTTTATTTATATAGCGCCAAATCACGACAAAAGTCGCCTCAAGGTGCTTCATAGATACAGAGAAAAACCCAACAATCATATGACCCCCT